CCAATTATTACTAAGGCTGTCAAGTGATTAATCGCGATTAATCTCATCCAAAATAAAAGTTTGTGTTTACATAATATGTGTGGGTGCACTGTGTATAATTATTATATATATATATATATATATATATATATATATATATATATACACACACACACATGCATGCATATTTAAGAAAAAAAAATTGTATATATAAAATATTTATAATTATATATAATATTAATTATATATAAATCTACACAGTATTTGCATGAAAATATTTCTTAAATACAAGCATGTGTGTGTATATATATATATATATATATATATATATATATATAATAATTATACACAGTGCACCCACATATATTATGTAAACACAAACTTTTATTTTGGATGCGATTAATCGCAATTAATCGTTTGACAGCCATAATCATTACTATTATTACATAAACTCTAAAGCAGTGGTTCTCAACTGGTAGGTCATAACTTATAGGTCTGTTCTCGAAAAAAAAAAAAAAGAGAAGCAAAATGTAAAATGTAGTATACATCCAGTATTATTATGTTGTATAGTTTTCATTGCAAAATAATTGCGGCTTATCAATTTTAAAAAGAAACAGGAAAATGTTCTCAAATCTTCCCATAATATTTAACGTTGTTGACATCAAAAAGCTGTGCATCCAATCAAACTGTACTTTGCAATTACATCTTTCACTTGATAGAAGCTATACGTGAACAGGTCATGTGACTACAAACTATTGAAAGTTAAGTTATGTACTGTGTGTGTGTGTGTGTCACGTTCAAAAAGGTTCAATTGCAACCATATGGTTTGTGTGGTGCGTGGGAAAACATTAAAAGATATTCAGACACAAAGGGTTTTCAGCCCATGCTATGTGTTGTGTTGGGCCTATGCATTTCACATATACATCTTAATTATAAAAAAGATTCTTAAAAAAGGCATTGTGAGCAAAATCTGGATCCTGAAGCAAAACCAGTTGAGAACCACTGCTATAAAATTCACCTGCGCAAGTGACCTTTCCTTATATTTCCTTCTAAAAATATCCATAGCTTGGTTCTCAATCATAAGACACAAAAGTCAGCACAATAACATAACCCTGAGAGAAACACAGGTCCGCCAGAGTCCTTCTTGTGCATACAGTCAGCATCTGAAAAGCTTCAGCGGAGAGATACTGTTAAAGAGCATGTAATACTTTCTTGATTTAAATGCAGTTTTTAATTGGATAGAGCCCCATTATTTTTCAATACAGAAAGGGCAGTGAGGCACGCAAAGCTCTTGAATATTTTTGCAAATCGTGTTCGACAGCATAATGATTAAGCATGGCACTAAATTTGCCTCACAAAATGAAAAGCAAACTTCATGCAAGGCGTAATTTAATTGTTCCCCTTCACATTTTCCGCCTCCTATTGTTGGAAGCTTTACATTTTCGGAGTCTCTGCACTGGTGCTTGACATGCCACTTTGTGACATATTCAAACCCTGCGACATTCGAGACACATACAGCACAAACATGCTTCAATCTACCACGGCGTATGAATGTGAATACATGCTGTGTTGTTTTGATTTACTCGTGTCGTGTGCATTACATCACATTAAAACCCAGCAATGAAGAATGAACCAATGAAAATATAACAGAATTGCTGTTAAAGGGGTATGGAACAATGTATGATTTCAACTGCAAATAGAGACCTATTTCTAGTTGTAGAAGCTTTAACTAGTTCATTCTAGTAGCATGGGTTATATCTAAAATTGCAGTTGACCATTAAGAAATCTGATATTTTCTTGCCATTTGAATCTTTTGTGTAAGTGTAAGGATGGTTAGGATTGAGCCTTTCTCTCTAAATCCTCTGTAATACAGATAAATATTGCCATCTGCTGGCATTCATGTATTCACACTACTTCATTGAGGGAACATTTCAGGTGAAATACAATTTGAAGTCAATATGAAAATGATGTCAATCAAAATAAACTCCGTTTACTTTATTAATGCACATTTGTGGTCTTAATGCATTCATAATCTTTTATCAAAATATAAAAACTTGCTCTGCCTTCCTTTTTTAAACAGACAGAGATGGGCTAATAATGTTGTACTGTCCCTCGTTTTGGGAAAATAAAAGGAAATATGTATAGTAATACACTTATAATGGAAATCTAAGGGACAAACATGTTTTATTATTCCAGAAAAGTGCTATTTGAGCTGTAAATTCAGATTTCCCAGGTTTGCATGGGCTGAATTTGGAATAGCATACAAACACTTAGAATAATTACGATTTTATATGTTTTTGAAAGAAGTATCTTATGCTCACCACGATCAAAACTACTAGAATGATTTCTGAAGGATCAAACAATTCAGATTTGCATCATAGGAATAAATTACATTTTAAAATATATTCAAATAGAACATAGTTGTTTTATTAATATTTCACAATATTACTGTGTTACTATATTTTATCAAATAAATTAAGCAGAGGTGGGTATAACTTCACAAACTCTTAGTATTTCCAGCAACATAAACATATAGAAATAGTGATCGTATGCAATGGTCATCCTATGAAAAATACTTTCTTAACAGGAAAGGTGTCAGTCGCATGCATCAGGCAGTTGATGATCATGTTATATGAACACAACCGCTTCGATAAACAAACACTTTCTGAACTCTTCTAGACTTGACGAGCGAAAGTAAATTCTTATCCCTGTCTGCAGAGGCGCAGTGTATAGATGCCCTGGCTTTCTTAATATTTCATACTCTGATTACACTTCAAATCACCCTGTAAATCCTCTTAAGGCATGCAGAATTGTTCGGTGTGTGAGGGAGAAAATGAGTGAGAGAAAAAATAAAGATAAAGAGAGAGACAGAGAGAGGTTAGGTACTTATAAACCCTAAAGGCTTGCTTATCTTTCCAGCACATGCATCTTTGTGTCTCTCGTGCATGTCAGTTTTCTATTTTTTAACGCAGCAAAGACAAAGTAAGCTGCACAAGATGCTGTGACAGTGAAAAGACTTTCCCTGAACCGGCTGATGCAATTCACAGCTCTGAGGATATTCCTGTGCAACAACAAAAAGACCCAACGGAACCGACACAACAACGAAATAAATCATTATAGCCATTATTCATGCACTCAGTCAAATCACTGCGAGTAAAAACAATGTTTCCATTGCAAATTAACCAATGCATACAGTAACATCAAAACTGGATGAAACTTTTTCCGTGCAAAAGACACATCACATCAAATGGCCTTAAGACCGAGCTCCCCCTGACCGAGCTTGAAAACAATTCCTGCGTCTTCCCTACTATGCATTTAGGTCTTAATATATTAGATGGAAGATTAAACCTAGACACAATTTAAAGATGGTTAGTAACGTCATATCATAATTATGCAAACGTGAACATTTGAAATACTAATAAATAATATTTGGTTTGAGGATGTTGTCCATGTGCTGTACTAACCTCTATTTTAAGTAAATAAACTTCTCTCTAGCTTTAAATCAAAATGCTTCAAACTAAATATGGTCAACAAAGCTGGTAATAAATGTATAGCTTTTCCCATGTTATCAATTTCCCTAATCCATTTTAAAAAGCCATTGACACCCTCATGTAAACCAAATCCTTCGCTGATCAAAAATAGCTCTTTTACCCATCCTGTTAATTTTCTTGCCATTCATTGTTTAAATAATCGAGTCAGAATGAATAAAGTTTATGTGTCTGAGCACGTCTGGTCATTAAATTACACCAAAACCACATCACATTTTTAAAACTTACAGACTTAAATTAGCTATATCACGACTTGTCACTAAGAGCTGAAAACAACACATGAACTGAAGTAAGTGATTTACCAGGATAAACAGCACCCCCGTGCGGTCATACAAAAATGCTTATATCTCAGTAGGCCTGTTATATCGCTTCAGTTTTAGTTTAAAAACAGTGTTGGTTGGTGGAAGGCTAATAATTAATGTTGATCGAACCAATTAAAAGAAAAAAACAGGAGGTTTGGTTTTTTTTTTTTAATTTGTGAGAAGTATTTTATGTAAGTTAGCTACACAAATAATAGGCCTACCCTCGATATCTTAAAATAGTCAACATATTGGCGGGTTATAATATCTCCGATCACAAAAAGAACACTTGTCAAAACTGTAAATCAACGGGACATCATAGATTTAACAATAAACATCAACTAACTAGCATATTTCATGGCAGAGTAAAAGCCAGTCTGTGAGGGATCGACTTACCTTGTTTTCAATGCCATCCGCTGTATAAAGCTCTTAGATCACTTATTTTCGACAGCTCATGTTGTCTTTTAATATAGTAGGCTATATAAACTGTGTCGCATTTCATTTCCTACCTTATTGAAAAGAAAAAAGTAGGCCAGTCGAGGGTCTTTCATGCGGAAATGGCGGACCATCCAGAGACTTTTGGCATAGGCCTACTCTATACTCTCTGGGACACACTTATTCTAATCTCACATACTAACTATTTAGGATGATAGTAGCCTATGTGCATTATAGGACGCAGGGTACGTTTCTTATTTTAGACGGAAGGATAAGACGTTGCATCATTTGAATATTCATTCAGATTTTCCGGTTTGGTAATCTTCACAGGCTCCTTGAAAATTCGTGTTACATGTTTTAAAAAATGACGCACAATGAAAGTAGTTTGCATCACGGGATATCTAATGTCAAGCATGCCCTTCACTGACACTGCTGACTTTCTGAGAAACAAGTACACTAACATTTGAACAGATATCCTATAGCCTATTAGTACAGTTGGTTCTGGAAGAAACTGCACCAAAACTGAGAGAAAGTTGTAATGTGTAAAAAAAAAAAAAAAAGTTTAAATAAATAAATAAATAAAATAAAAATCACTGACACAATTGGAATTGACCATTGTTTCAATGGTGGTTTCAGATCTTCGTTTTGATCATAAACTTCTTAATTCATATTTTTATGATGGATTTTCATATTTAAGTTTGACAAGTTCTGGGGCAAGTGTAAAAAAAATTAGAAAAGGGCCATTTTAAAAAGTAGAAATTGTTTTTTAGTTTTAATCAAATGAACAACTTGGTATGAAAAAATTGATTAGAAACACACATAGCTAAACAATAGATAAATAAAGCAATTTAGTAGCCTATAATATACTTTCCTTAGTGTTCAATCCATCTACCCCCTCCCGAATAAAAGACATATTAATTTTAAATAAAGCTGGATTCATTTTAGTAAATTAAATAAAATAATATTCTGCATACAACCAAGAAACTTTTCCTTCACCAAAACCATAATGTAATGTAAAAAGAGAAGTGGCACATGCATACTACATACTTCATCTATTACATAAGTGTCTTACTGTATGTCAATAAAGCACAAAAACTCCAGAGAAACATAAACAGGACACATCTCAGAGGAAAAGGAGAGAGAGAAGAGTCACCAGCGGCAGGAACAGGAAGAGCCTCTGTTTCAAACCCTGACCGCTGTTACACAGGATTCCCTCACAGCATCTCATCCGAGTGCCAGACATGGAGCCCAGGGTATTTAATAAAGAGTTCCCACATATTATATCACTTGCACATCCTTTCGTATTCACGCCAATAATGTCAACTGGGGGGGAAAGGGAATATGTTATGGAATACACAAGGGCGGTAATACTAAAACAAAACTATTCAAATCACTGCAGATTGTGTGTGGAGAGTGTAATCACCTTCTGTACTGAAGCACTTTTTCTGGTCACCTGAACAAGTCACAATGTTTGAGCAGTCTTTATTGAATATGTCACAGGTGTAACACATCAGCCTATTGTATCGCAGCAAAGCTATAATATGAAAGAATAAGAGTAGTTAATGCAATAATCAAAACTAAATTGAACAAAAATGAGACTTCACAAACATATCACTGCTATTAAATTAACACTAAAATAAATCAAATAAGGAATCCCACCATTCACTCTCAGTAAAAAAAGGTACAAAAGCGGTCACTGGGCCTGTACCTTTTACACTTTTGTACCCATAGGCTGCATATTGGTACCTTAGTGGTATTAGCACATGAAATGTACATATTAGCACCTAAAATGTACATATTAGCTCATGAAATGGACATATTAGCACCTAAAATCTACATAGCACCTAAAATGCACAGGACCTAAAATGGACATATTAGCTCCTGAAATGGACATACAGTATCAGCACCTAAAATGTACATATTAACACCTAAAATGTATACCTAAATGTACATATTACCACCTGAAATTGACATATTAGCTCATGAAATGGACATATTAGCACCTAAAATATACATATTACCACCTAAAATATACATATTAGGACCTAAAATGGACATATTAGCTCCTGAAATAGACCTAAAATGTACAAAAGTTAACCTTTTGAAAAGGTACAGCCCCAGTGACAGCTTTTGAACAGCTTTTTTCTGAGAGTGCTGTAAAAAAAAAAAAAGTGCATGTACCTGGAGCCTCTTCAGTGTTGCAGAGGTTTGTGTCACAACATTGGGGATTAAAGGTCATTTGGTTTTGTCCCAAATGTATGGCGTCAGTAACACACAGGGCAGGATCTGTGCAGTTTTTCTCACTGCTATCTAATGTACTGCCATCTACAAAAAAGAAAATAAATAAATAAAGATTGACTAATAAACCTCTTTAATAATTTTCTAAATCATGCAATGCTTACTGTTGTTTACAGTGATGGAGCCGCATTGAAGAGGACAATTAGTTAGATTTTGCTTGCATGATGAATTGTATTTGTATTGGCACTGGTAGCATCTCAGAGCGAATACTGAAACATAAAGAAATGTCATAGTAAAACAATTAAAAAATGCATTTGTTTTATGTATCAGCATCTCAAATCATCTCATCTCATTGTGAACTGTTTGATCATAAATACAAAAATGTAGTCATTTCATCAAGTAAGAATCCTAAAAAGAAACACACATACCTGTGGAGAAAGAAAGCGCGATGAGACCCAGAGTGATGTACAGAGTCATGGCTGGAACGTCAGTGTGAAATCAATATGCAGCTGACTTTCTTTGTTCCAAAGTGTGCCAACAGGCAGCAGAATAATTAGGCGGAAATAAGGCAAATCTAAGAGTTTTATTTTTGCAACTCAAATTGCTCACGTTTGAATATTCACGAAATGAATATTCAAATGGAGGTGTATAGGTCAATTTCTCTTAGGATCTGTTCATGGCAGGTTATCATGAGTCCGACATCAGTTCACCTAGAGACACTCTTTTCGATAAGGGTCTTACCTCTGCTTTTAAACTTTTATCTATTCAAATTTGTATTCATTTCCCATTTGGATGCTTTTGGACAATGCTGTATATCTAATAATCTGAACCTGCAGCACAGATCGAGACAAATTTGCCTTTCAAAACAGCTGAATGTAAGAGTGTAAGAGTGTCTGATCAAGTATCCTTTATCATATGAAGATGTGCACATTGGAGTGTCGATAACAGCATCAGAAACACATTCACTGTGAAAATTGTTACAGTTTTTTGCATAATGCATCTCAAAAAATGTTTTTGATGTGACAAATATTAAGATCAAGATGTCTACCGGGCAGAAGGTTACTTTGAGATTCAAGTTTAAGTTCCTCCCAATTGAAGGACTCTTGGCTAGAGTGATTCATTTCAGACCACACATAAAAATGGGCAAATGGCGCCACCTTGCGGGAGGAAGTTTAACCGTGACTAAACATTTAGAAAATTTTACAACACACACATCGTTTCTTGTTCGTTCTTCTTTGCTAAAAGATACTTGCCATCAACTGTTTATTTCGGGTAGACTTATTATTATTATTCTTATCAATTCTTGTTCAGTTAGGCCTATAGGTTCAAATCAATAGGCCTAAGTGATAGATAGGCCTAGATCAAACTACAATTCTGTCATTGTTTACTCCCCCTCATTTTGTACCAAAACATTCGTTCATCGTCAAAATACAAATTAAGATTTAATTTTAATAAAATGTAGGCTCTCGCCATTGACAGCTACCACTTTTGACGCCAAGTTCGTAAAGAGATCGTAAAACTAATCCATATGATTTCTTTTTGGTTTAATACAAATTTTCTCTTGAAAATGTTTTCTTAATATCTATTTTTTTATTTTTTATTTAATAAATATAAAAAATTAAAAACGACTAGCCTATAGCCTATATTTATTTTCATATCTTGCTCTAAACAGACCACATAGGTTTCACAACATTTGAATCACGTTTAAAGTGTATAGTAGGCCTATTTACATATTTTGAGTCTGACACTTTTTGTTCAACAATTATGTCAATTATGAGGAATAAGATTATAAATTTGTGGTGGAGATTTAGAACATGGGTTTTGGGAAGACAAAATCGATTTTTGAACCCGTTCATTGAAACGAGCTCAAATAAATCATGCTCATCGTGTCAGAAACAGGCTGGACAGGTCGGTCGGGCATGTTTCGCAATGAAATGGGCGTAAGGTAAAAAAAAAAAAAAAAAAAAAAAAAAAAAAAAAAAAACTAGAGAGACAGACCCTCAGTCTTTCGCACAACACATCTAATTCATTGATAGACACACTGATTAATGCTTCTAGAGATCGTGCTTGTGTACCGAAGACAACAAATTACGACCCTTTTTACTCGTTTGTGCATTAGTCAGTTAGTCAATAGAAAATATGACAACCTTGATTAAAGGAGGGAAGGTGGTAAATGAGGATTTCTCTGTGATGGCAGACGTGTACATTGAAGATGGAGTGATCAGTGCAGTTGGCTCCGATCTGCAGGTAGCAGCTGGCACACGGGTCATTGATGCCACAGACAGACTCGTGCTGCCGGGTGGAATAGACACGCACACACACATGGAGCTGTCGTTCATGGGCACCACAGCTGTGGATGACTTTCATATAGGCACCAAGGTAATTACAACCCATGAAATAGCCTATGGTGTGTGTGTGCATCCATTATTGGAATAAGTCATCTTCATTTTTGAATTTTTCATTTAAATTGATTTGATCATTCGAATAAATTCGAATCAACAAATGTAATATTATTCTTAAGTATTTCCATTTATTATTACAAGTGTAGTCTATAGTGTTAGTAAACACTTTTAAGTGCAGTGTTATGTCTGTGAGAACCAACTTTAATTATTTAAAAATATTAGCCTATTACATTACTTATTGATAGGGTCCGATCTTTATTGGATGAACTAAACTGAAATTGTTTATGAATCATGACATAATGACAAATATTAGTCTTGTGATACTAACTGATGACATGCTCACTTCTCAGTTTCTCATTTGTTCAAGTCCATTATTGAATTTTGTACATTTAAAACTCCAATCTACCTCCTCAAATCACATAGTCATTTGAATGTATAGTATTCTTGCACATTCAGCAATAGCAAATAAGCTCAATGCTCTTGTAACAGAACATAAGGAGCGAACATAATAACAGAACATAAAGAGAGTTAATATGTAACGGTGTGTTCCAGAAACTCGCTAATGTTGTTTTACCTCAACATGTGTCCACAGGCTGCAGTCGCAGGAGGCACGACCATGATCCTGGATTTCGTCATCCCTCAGAAGGAGTGTTCACTCCTGGAAGCCTATGAGCGGTGGAGAAGAACAGCGGACCCCAAAGTCTGCTGCGATTACTCCCTTCATATGGCTGTCACCTGGTGGGATGACACTGTATGGCTACTATATACTGTACCACACACACATATATAAAATAATATAAAAATAAAAAAAACTTGTTACCTTCTGTACTGTGCTAGACTCACCGGGACTTCTCACTTTACTTACATATTGTTGCCCTATTGTTGATTTGATTGCTTCTATTGCTCTCCTCATTTGGAAGTCAATTTGGATAAAATCTATCTGTCTGTATGTCTGTCTATCTATCTATCTACACTCTAAAAAATGCTGGGTTGTTTCAACCCAAATTTGGGTCAAATATGGACAAACCCAAATGTTGGGTTAAATTTTTAACCCAACTTCAACTTTCAACTAATTTTTTTAAATTACATTTTTAACCCAACATTTGGGTTTGTCCATATTTGACCCAAATTTGGGTTGAAACAACCCAGCATTTTTTAGAGTCTGTCTGTCTATCTATCTATCTATCTATCTATCTATCTATCTATCTATCTATCTATCTATCTATCTATCTATCTATCTATCTATCTATCTATCTATCTATCTATCTATCTATCTATCTATCTATCTATCTATCTATCTATCTATCTATCTATCTATCTATCTATCACTGCCTGTCCATCTATATATAAAACATGAACATTATGTGACTTTCTTTAGGTTAAGAAGGAAATGGAGACTCTTGTTCGTGAAAAAGGTGTCAACTCTTTTAAGATGTTCATGGCATACAAAGATGTCTTCATGCTGCGTGACCATGAGCTCTATGCTGCATTCTCCCAGTGTAAGGACATCGGAGCAATAGCTCAAGTCCACGCGGAGAACGGAGACCTTATTGCAGAGGTGAGAAGTATTCCAAGATCTTCAAAATGACAATTCTGCATCTAGTTTGCTAACATTCCAATTCAGGAATTTATCATGGAATTACGCCCTAGAAAGGTATATTTGACTTGAGGGGAGGATGATTCAGAGGGATGCATTGCAAGTTGTTTTACAGGAGATTCCCAGATGCATACTGCATATAAGAGCCATTCACCATGTTCTTTACAATTAGATATGCTTCTGATACAGAGTATTATTTTTGTGCATCAGAATGGGCTTGTGAAGGGATTCTTTTACCACAATGCCCTCTGAGTTAAACTTCACCAGGAGTTAACCAGTGTGCAGGTGTTTTTTGTAAATCATTCTTGAAATGGAAAGCTGAACAAACAGGTCATGTTGCGTAAGAACTGGCCTATGCCTTTAACTAACACGAAGTGCCATATTTGCAAGTTTTATGGTCAAAAGTTCAAATGGGGCATATTTTGCTACGAACTGTTATAAATGTTTTTTCCATGAGATTATAGTGTTAAGACACTAATAATAACTTGCCATTTTGTGACATAAATACTGACCACATTCATTTTTAGACTCTCTATTGCCCAATGCAGCAAAATGCCTAAGAAAGAACCAGATGTGTCATGTTAGTAGACTGGTCAGAGTTCAGTGGAGAAGTTTATTATCATATGCCATTAAAAGTGCAAATTTAGGCAAATTATAACGACAATGTTTACATTAGCTGAAAAACATTTTGCCATTCTGACATTCTTATAAGTCCCAAGAAATGTGTGAAATTTGATTCCACTGGAGGGCACCAAATACATAAATGAGTTTTAATGTATTTTCATAGAGAAAGCAAAACTCATGTAGGGGGAGAGGAAGTGTAACATAAATTGAAAAAACTCAAAAGAACAAAAAACCCAAAAGAACAAAAGAGCATCTTTTCTCTCTCTCTTTGTCTGGAAAAAAAAAAAATATATATATATATATATACAGTATATATATATATATACATTATATATACACTATATATATACACTATATATATGCTATTTTTTTTAGTATAGTAATTGCTACTATGCAATTAAATACTAAATTCCATAGTATTTAATTGCATAGTAGCAATTAAATACTATGGAATTGCATGGTAGTGGGCTCTCTTGGAGTGTGCTAGAAAGCAACAACCTAGTTACTATCGACAACACCCTAGCAACCACCTAAACACCCCAACAACCGCATATAAATGCACTAAACAAAACTTCCAAACACCTAAACAACTATATATAAATTTACTAAAAACTTCCAGAATACCCTATAGCAAACACATAGCAAGCAATGCCCTAGAAATGACTTGCAACACCATAGCAACCACATAAAGAATGCCCTTATAAACATAAAAGCCCTGACAAGTGACAACCACCTACAAAACCATTAGGATTGTGGCAGTGAGTTTTGCTAGGCAAGCATCACTCTTCAGAAAATATAAATATCTGTTTTACTATTCTTTTCCTGCTTTGCAAGCACTGTTTCCTTCAGAAATGCTAATGTAGTTGGTAATAGAAGCTATAGTTGCTAAATCTGAAGAATTTCCTGCTGATGCAGCGTGCTGAGACACAGTTGATGCCCGAGAGCACATAGAGATTTCATTTAAACAGTCCCGTTCTGTGAATATTGATTTGTGTGTGTGCTCACACAGGGTGCTAAGCGTATGCTGTCTCTGGGCATCACGGGTCCTGAGGGCCATGAGATGTGTCGTCCAGAAGAAGTGGAGGCGGAGGCCACACAGCGCGCCATCACTATCGCCCATGCCGCTAACTGCCCGCTCTACGTGGTTCACGTCATGAGCAAATCTGCAGCGAAGGTGGTGGCTAATGCACGCAGAAACGGTGAGTGAGCTGGCATAAGACAAGATTATCATTCAAGTTCATTGTGATATTAGTGAAACATTATTACAGTATACAATAAGCGTTTTCTAAAAAAAAAAAAAAAACTTTTGCTGATAATTTACTCACCCCCATGTCATCCAAGATGTCCATGTCATTCTTTCTTCAGTCGAAAAGAAATTAAGGTTTTTGATGAAAACATTCCAGGATTTTTCTTTTTTCTTCATATAAAGGACCTCAATGGGAACCAAACGGTTCAAGGTCCAAAAGACAGTTTCAGTGCAAACTGCAAACTGTTCAAAGGGCTTTAAACGATTCCAGACGATGAACAAGGGTCTTATCAAGCGAAATGATCGCTCATTTAAAAAAAATAACAAAGTTTAAGTTTTATAAGCTCAAATGCTCTGTTCTGTGATGCACGTTCGTGACTCTTCTGTCCGAACTCGTTCATCAAAATTAACGAATCTTTTTCCTAGTCAATTCGTTCATTTCGTTCATTGAATGAACCAAATGACACGAAAAAAGATTTATTTTGATAAACAAGTCGGAATCATTGGAATCGTTTAAAGCCCTTTGAACAGTTTGCACTGAAACTGTCTTTTGGACCTTGAACCGTTTGGTTCCCACTGGAGCCCATTATATGGAGAAAAATGCTGGAATGTTTTCATCAAAAACCTTAATTTCTTTTCGACTGAAGAAAGAAAGACATGGACATCTTGGATGACATGGGGGT